ATCCAACTGGAATATCATCATAAATAAGTTTAAGAACTATTTTAAAGCAATGTATATGATATCAAATTTGGATTGCCAAATATCGGTTATTTTCATTTTAGTATTATTCACATCCAAGAGAGTTTTTCTTATTTCGCCAGGCAGACCCACAAGAAATTAGAAATCGTTGACAAATTTACTGTTTTTTTTATTTTTTTTTTTTATTGGTTTGACCTGTACCAATCACAACCGATGAAGGGTCTTGCGTTCAGCATTTTGTTGGTAAGAAGTTCTGCTTAAGTTGTCTTCTTAAATGATCATTTTATTACCCAGTTTATAATGACCAGATCCTCTCCACAAGGTTCTAGGACCCCAGTGACGATCCACGCCTGATGTAACAGAATAAATAACAACAGAGCTTGAGCATAGGAGCACAGTGTCTTACTCGTTATGATTGTCCCGACCTCCGTTTTGATGATAAAGAAGATGTACAGAGTGTCTCACTTCCTAATGGCCTAAGTCTGGAGGGTGATTCTAGGAAAAAATATCTATCAAATAAGTTCATTTGATGCATGGGACGAATCCAAACAGAAAAAGGAGTTAAGAACAATTTTGTGTTTTTCTCAAGGTTATTACGTTTTTTATTGAATAAGAATGAATCACTCAAAAACTGTACAAGATTCATTTTCAACAAATTCTAAGTACACCATTCGTAAAGTAGACAATTTTATTTATTTATTTTTTAAATTTAAGAAGGTCAATAATGAATTTTCAAGAGGTCGTATACCCTAGCATTATGCCGCATTATTTCACGAATCGGGATTACAGAGATATGCTATTCGGGTGTTGGTACTTTAATTGCAGCAGTACAGCCGTATAGACCTTCTGAAAGTCTCTTTTATCATTGACCATTGTAAATTTAATAAATGTTTCCAAAAAAAAAAATACTTTATTAGTTTCTGAGTGATTTCTTCTTATTTGATGAAAAAAGTGACCATCTTCAGTAAGATAAAAAATTGGTCAGTAAGATAAATAAAAACATAAAAATTTATCACTATTGTGAAATTAATATTTTTAGCCATATTGATTGGCTATCTATTTATATGATATATCGATCTATCTTTTTTCGAATATAGAATATTCTTCACCGGCAACTTCGATACGAAGACTGACCTTGAGAGAGAAAAAAAAAAACGATCTTGTCAGGTAAGCTCTTGTTCAAACCAAGAGACAGGTGAGAAAGCAGCTGCTCTTGGTAAAAACCTGCAGGAGGTTATTCCACCGTGAAGCGTTTAGTCTTCTCTTCTTTCTCCAGTCACTTTCGATGAATAGTAATGACCACGAGTCTTCCAGCAAGGCTTATGAGGAGGAAGTTATCAAGGTTCTACATAACCTGACATGGTTATTATGTCAGCGAAGAGTTTTAGCTGTAATCGATTCTTTTGTATTTTTTTTCGCGAATCATCCCTTCCTTCCGAATCGTAAGCACTTGTATACTAAACTGATTTATTCGCATTAAGAAGGTAGCAGGACGAATCTAGTCACAATTGTATTTAGAAAAGGAAAAGAAGTTATTTTAAACACTTGAAATGTGACTTCAAATATTCCGTAAAAACACTAACAGTTTCAAGAAAGTTTTTTTTTAAGTATCCTCCCACTCTAGAGAACATTTTTGTTGAAGTTATAGAGAAAGAGGTGTGGATATATGGAAACATTCGGGGAAAATATGCGAATGTCTGTCTCGTAAAATGATAGAATAGTATCAAATAATTGATAATATTTTTAGTATTTTAAATACTAGTTTTGAAATAGTACTAGTAGTATAAATACTAGTAATTTTGATTTCTATGCTAGCCCAAGACTTCCATTGAAATCTTATACTGTCCCTATTGTTATATTATCATATAATGAAGCCATGGATGTAAATTATTTTATTTAATTCTATTTTATATTCTTCTTTAAATTTGCAAAATGACTGAATGATATCACTATCAATATCTGTCTAGCTTTTGGGGAAAGTGCTGTTGTTTTGAATGAGGGGATATTTATTCCGGAACTTAGCACACTTTCTGCATTTTAGAATAATGTGTAAAGGGTGCTCGATTGAATTGCATTTCGAGCATTTATCGTTTTTATTAACTTTAATTAGTGTTAATCCGACCGTGGTTTATTCTCTATCTTTTAAGTATGACAACTTCTTTTCTGTTTAACGTAACATACTAAGTACTTATATAATTTTGTACTTGTAGGCAGACTGGCACTCAATAGAACAGTGAACTTAGTTCATTGTAGTTACGTAGTCGAAATATCCAAAACAAAAACATTTTATAGTATCCTGTAATATATATATCTTAGGCAACATATCTCATTATTATCAAAAGGTTGTTAAAGTGACTTCAATAGAAGCTATTGACGGTTTTAAATCATTTATAAGCCAATATTTTCTTGTCATGATTTTCTTCCGTTTTAATTATATTTTTTGAAATTTACTGCTGCATTCCATAGTTTCTAAACTTGAAATATTATACCATTTTTATAGTATTACAGTATGTTAAAATTTTTAACAGCTTATTAGCCTCATAGATATATTTCGTTTACTTCATGAAAGCAAATAACACGAATAGTTTTTCCCTTCATGATAAGACAATTTCTAATATACCACATGAATCCTGTTGCGGTATTGGAAATAGTCTAGCTCCATTCTTTTCGAGAAAAAAAAATCCTGTTTAACTACATCTAATTGGCGTAACGCTTCACTGATTGCACTATCCCTACTTTCACATATCTAAACGATCTCTAATCGTCTTTAAAGTTATTTCCTATCGCCTACGGATTTTCCCAAGAGAAGATAAATATAAAAAAAAAATATAGCTGTCATAAACTTTTTTAGAAAGAATTAATCACATCTTCGTATTATTTTTTATTTTTCCTAATCTTGACGTATCGGACTTTTCTCCAATTTAAACATTATTTTATAATTTTCTCATTATTTATCGAACTATTATCTGTAAAAATCGATCCTATTCAATTGATTACAATTTAGATATTAGTCAAATCTATTTAGTATGTTTTTTATGTTTTATTTTTTTGTACATCTTATAACTAGCGTTGCCCAAATTCGAAACCAAGACGAGCCTTGGTCTTGCGCACTCAGACTTGTTATACCTACTAATTTATTACTATAGAGATATTATTGTATTTTTTTCAGATATGAGAAATCATACTAAAAAATAAGAAGAGTTATTTGCAAAAGTATATTGGTTATAATAATTCTTTAATTATAATAACTAAAATTGTCAAGTTTTAGTAACTATTTTGCGTTAAGTTTTATTCACAAAAATGATTTTTTTTTTCAGTCTTAGTCTTGGTCTTGCAACACTACTTATAACTTACCAAAAGGTTTTGGGACATGATTAATCCGACCTAATAAAATTTATAATAAATGATTAGTGGGCATCCAAATAGGACAAACCTTAGAAACAATTGATAATAACATCCATGAGGTAATTGTTATTAAAATTAATTTTAATTATTACAGGAACAGGCTTTCGAGTCTGGCACCCGGGACCGCTTTACAAACTCCGTAAATTCCTACATCCTAAATACTTCATCATTATCCGTTCCTACCTAACTGATAGATAACTTCAAATTAAATCACAATAATGCTTATTCGTCCCTCTTTCACCAGTCCGCTGGTGTTCCTCAATGTAGTATTCTAGGTCCTATCCTTTACAAAGTTTATACAGCTGACATCCCAACCCATCCTGACACTTATTACCTTGCATGCCGATGATACATGTGTCCTATCCATTAATAATGACCCAATTATTGCATCCTAAACTCTTCAATCACACACCACAAACTTTGAAGAATGGTGTCGAAACTGGAGGATTAAAATAAATTCTAATAAATCCCTTCAAATCACCTTTATCCTTCGCCTTAAACCAATATCCTCCTGTCGTACAGTATCCTTTAATAATTCCCCATTTATCCCAGTTGAATAAATCCGGTACCTTGGACTCCACCTAGGAAAACGTCTCACTTGGAATCCTCATACCAGACTGAAACGACAAGAAACCGCTCGACTTTTCCGATTACTCCAACACTTACTAGACAAACGCTCTAAGCTTCCAGTTAATTACAAAAGAATCATATACAGTACTACAATAAAACCTGTTTGGACTTAGGGAGTTGAGCTTTAGGGCTCCAGTAAGCCTTCGAATTCCTCTCGTATCCAATCCTTACAATCCAAAATCCTTTAGATAATCCATAACGACCTTAATGTTCCTTATGTTTCCGATTTGGCCCAATCCAGATACCAATCCTTTTATAATAAACTTTATAACCATCCGAATCCTCTCGTCTCTAACCTTACTTCTTCTTCTATCCCTGATAATCCTCCGAGGCGTCTGAAATTAAGGTGGCCTCGAGATTTCCTATTGCAAATACGTTTTTTTTATTTTTTCATAGTGCTACCAGTGGGTAGTTTCTCAACAAGTGATTTCATGTTATTATTTTGTGTTACCAAATTTACTAAATGCGTTTTATTTATTAATACAGTTGTAAATATCATTAATAAAAAAATATATAAATATTATTTCGGGAGATATTTAACTTAGAAAAAATGGATTCCTAGTTATGAAATACAGCAAAGGTATACGATGTTTCTCGTACAACGACAATTGAACAATTCTTAGAGGGTCAACAAGAATTATTCATTAAACGAGAAAAAAAAAATGGATGAATGAAAGTAAACTTTATTCTGGGACACCATGTCCTCAAAGAATAACACAAATGTACAACTCCAAAAACGTTTCTTTAGCTTCTGAAAATAATTATGTAATCAAAATACAAAATAAAAGAAAGCTTAATCCAAAAATGCATGAGCATATAAATACCATTATAACGACTTGAGGTACCAATGTTTCAATGAACACAATAACGTTCTACTTTGTCATTATAGTATTGAATTATTCAATAAAAATTAATAATAAAATCATCTCTAGAATTGATTTACTTACTTGTGAATCTTCTGCGATTCCTTTCCACCGGGCGTGTAACGTTTCAGAGGATGTTTCCGAATCGGGGCTGGCATCCGGAACATCGCTTTAGGGAAGGAAGACGAGGAGGACATGAAGGATGTCGGGAAATATGAATCGAGGAAATCGTCTTGAGATAAAAGTGAGTGCGGGTTGTCGGGGAATATTTTAGGAAAGGGAGGGAAAGTTGGAGCCGGCGGAAATGTCGGAGGTTGTGGGGGCGGAGGCATCTTGGTGGATGGGGCCTCGGTGGTGGGGTAGGTCGGGGGCGGCGCCCCGGGGCAAGGGGGCGGCAGAGGGTACACCTTCTGCATCGGCCGGACGGTCTTCGTGTCGTGGGGGATCGTCTCGGTCACCTCGTAGTCCACGTGTGGTCGCTTCTTCTTCGGCTTCTTCTCGGGTTCCTCGCCGCTCTCCTGCAGCAAAGGAAATTATAACAATTACTTTACTACTTCATATCTTTGAACATCGACAATAAAGATCACTTGATCAGTCGATTGAAAATGCATCCAATTCCTTTTATGACCAGCAATGTACATTTTCCATGATTCGATACTATGGTTTAGTTTTATTTCAAATGAAATATTAACTTATAAATGATGATGTGAAGTAATAAAACCGTTCTAGGAAACATATAAGTAATAATAATAAAAGGCTTAGCGAACCCGAAGGAATCGCTTATTACACACCTCCCTCCACCGTCCGTCGTCCAAACCTAGTCTCTTCAGGTCGGCTTTAATGCAATCTTCTCACCTTCGCTCGGTCTACCCCTCGGACGTTTACCATTCGGTACAGCAAATATTAATCTTTTAGGGATTCTCTCGGTAATAAGCCCAACAATTTTACATGCCCATTTGATTCGGGATGAAATCACCTCATTTATATTACCCGGTTATATTTCACACAATTCGGCGTTGTGTAACCGTCTGAACTCTCCGGTTAATTAATCCTTCTTCGGTCCGAATCTTTTACGCAATACTTTATTTCCAAAAACCTAAAGATGTTGCTCATCCCTTAATGTAAGCGGCCACGTTTCGCAACCATAGAGAACTGTAGGTAAGACAATGGTTTTATAAATGCTAGTTTTTTATATTCCTCGACACGAGGCACGAGCTAAGTAGTTTTGTCACAGAAAAATAACAAGCATTTCCCACCTTTATTTTAACCTTAATCTCTTCTTCAATTTTGTTTTTTCTAGTTATCGTAGACCCTAGATACCTAAACTTCTCTACCTGTTCAAACATATTACCTTTATCGATATCACCATTAATATCGCCATTTTTGCAGCTAACCATATATTTTGTCTTATCCGTGTTTATTTCGAGCTCTAGTTATGAAATGTATAAAAGTATGACATATATAAAAATATAAAACATGAATATATATAAAAGTAACGAAATATATGAAAGTAAAATTAATTGTATGATACTTCTGATTCTAGTTGATTATACAACTATCATTGATGACTACATGCACTTACATCGTAATGATAAGAAATAGTATTTTTTGGTGAATCGTAATCTTCGTAATCAGAAGGTGCTTCTTCCTTTCTCTCATCTTCCTCATCACCTTCTTCGTTGGATCGTTCACTCCCCCTCTGATCGTCTTCTTCTTCGTTAGAATCTTGATCAGTTCTATCATCATCTTCGTTGTCCTCATTATCACTTTCCGGACTGTCCTCTCGACCATCTTGTTCACTTCCGTTTTCGTCTTCCCTTTCATTATCATCTTCTGTTCCGTTTTCGTCTTCAGTTATGTTCTCGTTTTCTTCGCGAGATTCTTCTCTAGAAACCTCTATCCTCCGAGGGAGGTCTTCGGCGACTGGGATTCTGAGTTTTGAAAGTTCAAGTTGAAAGTCTGGGGGAACCAATGGTTCAAAAGCATCTGATTCGAAGGAGAACCTCTGCCTGCTTTCCTCTGCTGTTTTGTCATCTCCATCACTCCTTTGTGTACTTCGGTGTTCCAAGTTCTCTAAGCCTGAAACAAGAAAAGAATAATTCTGAAAAGTTTAAATCTATTTACATCTTACTATAATTAGCTACCTAAATCAAAATCTTGGTGCGATTGCTTTTTAAAGGACTCTTGTGTTTTTACATATTAACTTATTATAATATATACATTTAACAAATAACTATTTAGTATATAAAATTAATACTAGTTAGTTCATACTTCGAGGGAAGCTGGAATCTGCCCTGACGATAAAACCCAGCCAGGATATGGTGAGGCATAGTTGGCTGCTTATCTGGAATACAGTAAATAGCATGTTATGTAGTATATAATGACTTATGAACGCATACACCAATTAACTATGAATTTCAGGACTGAGATATTACTATAAAAAATAAGTTGATAAGTAATATGTTGATATGTGAACTAATTATATATTGTAATAAATTTTATGAATATCAATCTAATATTTACAAATAATAAAACGATGCGTTTAGTACATTATTAAAAATGAATGTTAGGTCATTATTGAAAAAATTCTGTCCATACAGCATTAAGTCTCCAAAGTGCAGCCAAGAATAAAAAAATCGGCAACTTTTCCAGGACAGAAAAAAAAACAATTCGAAGATCATCTGTCCGACATCCAACCGCATACTGGAAGGAAGGTAAGGTAACAGTTCAGAAAGGTTATAATCTAATAATAACATAAGGTTATATTATAACCTTCCCCAGCTGTGTTACCATACCTACCTTCCAGTATGCTGTGGGATGTAATGCAACGATGCAATCTTCAATTTATTTATCTTTTCTGTCCTGACGATGTCTGAATTGACGAAACATAGACGAATTTTTAATCCTTTATCTGCATTATGGAAACATAGCGCTGTGCGGTTGAAAATATTCCAATTATTGCCTTACCTTGAATTTCTGTCGCTTGCTGATTTTTTTTTTTAGTAAATAATAGTAAAAAAACAAGTGCATTGGAAAATCTGAATGGTGTGAATCATTTTCCATAGGATTGTATTATTTTATTTTATTATTATCTGGCTTGAAAATGGTCGGAAAAGCTTTTCATTAATTAATATTCGGTTCATCTGAACTAAAATTAATCCTAATGTTCCACAGGTTACTCAGATTTTCAGATCAACCAATCTCGCCAACTTTTAAATTTGTCGTACTCTCGATTTCAAAGAATTATTTTGAATTCGTTATCTACAGAAAAATACCGACGGTTATTATTATTATCAAAGAATTTCGGAATATATTACTTATAACAAAATATACACAACCAACGGTTCCTAATGCATTTTACCAATGACATTTCACGTAACCAGAGGTTTTTTACACCAGAAATTATCTTTCCTGGAACAACTAGTTAGATTTATTTTCTGGCACGCCGAATTAATACTGTGATACTATACTTGGAAAATATATAGAAAACAATCTAAAAACTGTATCGTGTAATTAAAATCCCTATATTTCAACTTGCACCATGAATCCCCTAAAGCAGTCCCCACCCGGAGACCCGAACGGGGGACTAGTTTACCTCCGGATAATGAGCGTTTTACCTTAGGGAGATCCATGACTTTTTGTGGTGTTTGGTGAACTAAAGATATGTGAGTAGGGCGTTCAATCCTACGTCACACCCTCCAGCAAGGGGGATTCTCTTTCGCCTGTCCTGTTCAATTTGGCATTAGAACATGCCATTAAGGAGGTAATGGGAACCGAGAAAGGGTTGGATCTGGGCGGGACAACATCCGTGCTGGGCTATGCTGATGATCTGGTACTGTTAAGCGAAGACGTTGAAACTATAAAACTAAATACAACAACGTTAATGAAAGCTGGTAAAGAACTAGGACTCGAAATAAACGTGAATAAAACAAAATATATGGTTAGCTGCAAAAATGGCGATACTACTGGTGATATCGTTATAGATGGTAATATGTTTAAACAGGTAGATAAATTTAGGTATCTAGGTTCTACGATAACTAGAAAAAACGAAATTGAAGAAGAGATTAAGGTTAGACTGAAGGCGGGGAATGCTTGTTATTTTTCTGTGACAAAACTGCTTAGTTCGCGCCTCTTGTCCCGGAACTTAAAAATAAGAATCTATAAAACAATTATCTTGCCTACAGTTCTTTATGGATGCGAAACTTGGCCGCTTACATTAAGGGATGAGCAGCGTCTTAAGGTTTTTGAAAATAAAGTATTGCGTAGAATATTCGGACCGAAGAAGGATGAGTTAACCGGAGAGTTCAGACGGTTACACAACGCCGAATTGCGTGAGCTGTATCCGGGTAATATAATTGAGGTAATTTCATCGCGGCGAATCAAATGGGCTTGTAAAGTTGTTGGGCTTAGTAACGAGAGAATTCCTAAAAGGTTAATATTTGCTGTGCCGAATGGTAAGCGTCCGAGGGGTAGACCGAAGCGAAGGTGGGAAGATTGCATTAAAGCCGATCTGATGGGACTGGGTTTGGACGGCGAACGGTGGAGGGAGGTGTGTAACAAGCGATTGGTGGTGTCGGCATCGAACCTTCGGGTTCGCTAAGCCTTATTATTATTATAGTATCGTGTAATTAAAATCCTGAACTAAAATAAAATATGTAATACTATATGTACTAATTTTTATATTTTTATTAGAACATTAAAAAAGTAAATACTTTCATATGTATAAATATTTTATATGCCGGTCGTTTTAATGGTCACTCAAAGAAAAACTTACAAGTTCAATTGTAATGAAAGCATAAATAGAATAATTGGATTTGGCTACTTGACTATCAGAATATATTTTTCAAAAAAATAGATATCGCTAGTGTTGTCCAAAATCGGTCTTGGTCTTGCACTTTGCTAGACCAATACCAAGACCGCCTAACTGTTGCAAGACCAAGTTCAGGACTGGTAAAAAAAAATCGATTTTTTTAATAAAAAGGAAGGCAAAATAGTTACTAATGCTTGACAATCTTAGTTACTATATGTTAATAATAGGTATAACCAATATACTTTTACATTTACTTAATATAAGTAACTGCAAGACTGTTGCGGGATTCTTGTGCAAAACCAAGACCATGACCAAGACTGAGTTTACAAGACCAAGACTCCTCTCAGTCTCGCATTTGGGCAACACTAGATATCGCTGCTGGTTCTACAAAAAGATGTTCCCATACTCTTAAATAATGGACCCCAAAGGAGTCCTGCTGGATATTTTGAAATACGCTTCCTCATTTGAAATTGAAATTTACAAAAAAAAAAAGAAAAAAAGAGAGTATGTTAGCTACACCACAAAGAACTACTCTTATCCGTGTAACTAAGGATTGCAGAACTGTATCTTAAGTTACAGCTGAAGGATCTTGACCAAACACTGCTGAGAGAAACCGTCAATCTGAGATCTTAAAACTTTGATGATGTCATTTCACGAAGGTTGGAGTCGGTCGACGGAGGGATTTTCAATGAGTGAACGTTACTCTAAAGAGGACCATGTTTCATTGTTTTGGTAAATGTTGGCCGATGTAGTGTTAAATGTACATATAAAATATTACGTTTGTCGGTGCTGGTTTGGCCGAAAGTTGAGAAGTGTAAAAGTATATCAAATATGCCAACATGGTGAGGAAGCTTCTTTGGAATCTTTATAGGTTATTCCCGTTAACAGATTTCCTGTTCAATTTAAGCCTGATTTAGATGGCCTTTTTGTATCCCCTTCCTTGCCTTTCAGGCTACACTGGGTTTTTGCCCGAGCTGGGAGAGAGTTCGGAGGAATTATGCCGGTTTAAATGCCCCACCGGGCACTGAGATGTAAACTCGTAATGGTTTTCTGTCTTAAACATCGGTCATCAGATTGCCGGGTAACGCATGGTGTTGTGCACACGCGTTAACCCGCTTGGCCAAATCGCCCCCTAATCCTTTAGGTCAATTCAATGTATTTAAAATGGAAAGCCGCTGAAGTGGGTTTTTGTATCAGGATGATCCGAAATGTTCATTAGCGCCACTAATCCCAAATAAAAAAAATACTAATTAGTCTGTAACTACAAGAACATGACAGATGGATTGTTATGACAGCATTATAGAGTAGAGCTGGGAGTTAATGGGGCGTGTCAAAGCAAACAGCCGTTCCGCGGTGACGTGACGAGGCCTAACATAACATCACCAATCCTTGACGGATCACAAAGTGGCACACGGTAAGAGAAAAAACAACCAGCCTCTCTTAGACTTTCCTCTGCTACTCAATGAATAATAATTCGGTATATTATACAGTATATCTCTCATACATTAAAATATATATGTATATTCCTGTAACAGACTTAGGAAACCATTCCTTACTGAAGATTCATAAAATGAAATAATAATAAAATAAAAAAAACTGTGCCACAACACCCCATGAAGGGGTTTGGGTTCAATATTTTGGTATGAAGTACTGTTTCAAGGCCAACGGCTGTGTTGAGGGAGGTGATCGGGTCTAGATCACGCTCAACCGACAGGTTTCTTCCTGTAATTATTTTTTTAATTAAGAGTGCCCACTTTATTCAGGCAACTTGGTGTCTTGACTTGATGTCTAGGAAGGTCTTGACACACAACTTTAGTCAGTTGATTTAAAGCCACTGATTTCTATACGAAAATTGAAATTAAATTTAATTTAGATTTAAATTAAATTAAACTGAAATATGCTTGGAAGTCCTAGCGCTCTAATGGCTTTTCAACTTTTTACTACATTAACAATTATAACTGAACTAAAAAAAAAGTATGCAGTTTCAATTAAATTCAAGCTTGTGTAATATGCATGTAGACGGAACCCATTTTTTATTACTGGCATTGATGTTGATGATCATGCCAACAGAATATATGAAATGTGTTTATGCATTCTAGTTCTGTTATAATCATAGTTAAATTAGCCAAATTAAAATTAGCTAAAACATTGAAAAGATAAAAAGCGCTGAAGTTGAATACGGCAGATACTACTAGTGAAATACACCTTAGATTCCATCCGCATTAGCAGCCGCTAAACCTTCAAAGATATTAATATGTTTAGATGTGATATAAAGAAAATTTAATAATAATAATAACAATAAAAGGCTTAGCGAACCAGAAGGTACGAAGCCGACACTACCAGTCGCTTATTACACACCTCCCTACACCGTTGGCCGTCCAAACCCAGTCCCTTCAGATCGGTATTAACGAAATCTTCACACCTTTGTTTCGGTCTATCTCTAGGATGTTTATCATTCGGTACAGCAAATACTAATCTTTTAGGAATTCTTTCGTTGCTAAGCCCAACAATTTTACAAGCCCATTTGATTCGCCGCGATGTAATCACCTCAATTATATTAACTGCATACAGTTCACGCAAACCTTCTGAACTATCCGGTTAACTCATCTTTCTTCGGTCCAAATATACTACGCAATACTTTATTTTCAAAAACCTTACGACGTTGCTTATCCCTTGATGTAAGCGGCCACGCTTCGCATCCATAAAGAACTGTAGATTGGATAATGGTTTTATAGATTCTAGTCCTTAAATTCCGAGAATAGATGTGCGAGCTAAGAGATAATTTAATGCTCCTTCAAAGTGTTCTTAATGAATTTCTTCGAGTGATCCATAGATTATGAGTTTTAGGTTAAAAAACAACGAAAAGAAATATATCTTGTGAAATAAGCAAACAGTCAACGTACCCGTCTCAACAGTCTCAAACTTCTCACTCGTTGATCCTTTATCAAAAAGTTATGAGTAGAATGTATAGTAAATTTTATCTCCTTAAACTTTGTACGTTATAGTAATTTCGAAAAAAATGCATAGTTTCGGAGTCATGTTAAAAAAAAAAAACTGAAAAAAGTAAGGAAATATCGCTATTTTTTACCTATATCTCGGAACACAATAGAAAACTTCGTTCGGGATCATCAAATTTAGATTTATCATCCCAAAAACATAAGTGATAGAAGAAAAACCGACTATTTTAATTTGAGCCTCACCCACGACCATTCGAGGGAGCTAATTTGATGAATTTGACGTCGCCAGTTTTCAAAACGCATCTTAGTGCATCTTGTCAAGATGAATTCTCTTTTAGAGATATATTCTTCCATCATATCAACATTTCAGTTGTTCGTTAAATGAACCGTCGAATGTCGTTTCTTTAATATAAATTTTCGTATAGAAAGCAACGACTTTCACCGACTGACCGAAGTTGTGTTTTCCGATGAGGTTTATTCAGAATTGAAATGGTTACAATTTTTAAGTCTTTCAAGTAAATGAAATGGTGGGTAGCTAGTCTATAGCATTAAGAACATTGGAATAACCTTTGATCAAACCCTTTCCGGGAAAAACCATGTATCCGATATTTCCCGCCGTGTCTTTTTCATTTTAAAACGATTAATTACCTTCGCCACCTATTTCAATCTGAAACCCGTAAACTCCTTATTATTCCCTTAATATTTACTCACTTCGACTATTGCTGTACGGAATATGGGCGTCTCACCGGATATCTCGAGGCGAAACTAAAACGTTTGATAAATTTCCATGTACGATTCATCTTCAAAATCCCAAGATACGCCTCTATTTGCCGTTATTATGAAGAGCTGAAATGGCTTTATCCTTCCTACTTAAGTATTTCCTAGCATCCTTCCTCTTCCAAGTCATCCGATCCCGACGTCCTTCATACATCTGCGATCTCCTTTAATTCAAATCCTCTGTCCACTGCCGCAAAGCCCGTTTCCAGTCTTCAGATTTGTATACGAGATCCCACCGAACCGCTGCTTTCGGCTGATCTTTCTTTAATCGATCCACATTCCTATGGAATTCTATCCCATCCTACATCTGTTGCTCCATTACCTTCCCCACCTTTAAATCCAGCCTGTTCAATCATCTTATACATTCAGTTTTCACAAAATTACTAATAGATGTTGTAAATATGTATATAAATAATTAGTTTGTTTTAAATATTTATATTTCATTTTTTTCTCTTAATTGAAGGTTGAAGATAAATGATTTTCTTTTCTCTTATTTATTCGTTATATAAATCTGTTTATATTGTAATTATTCTCTGAGTCTCCAAAGCCTACTTTTCTATCTCTGTTCATTATTCTAAAGGGACTTGTTTCACAATAAATAGAGCATTATTATTATTATTATTATAAGTATTTATCATTGCTCTCCCAAGATATTCAAACACGCCCTCTAACATTTCCGAGCTCCTTCAATTCAAATCCTATGTTCACTCCCGCAATACAATGCTTTTGATAGATCATTCATTATCCGATCCTCATCCCTATATAGCTTCATCCCTTTTTACATCCGTGGCTCCAATACCCTCTGCACCCCTAAATCCCGCCTATTCAATCACTTTGTATCCATCCAATCCCCATGAAACACTAAATAGAAGTTTCTGTAAATCCGTTATAAATTATTAGTTCGTTTTTCATTATTTTTATTTTACGTTTCTTTTCATATATTTTTTCCTTAATTGGTCAAAGCTAGAAGGTAATTTATATGTTTTTGTTTTATATATCTTCTTATTTATTTTATGCTTCTTCTTATTTATATCAATCTATTTAGGCTCAATGCACACATTTCTGTCTTTGTATGTTATTCTGAAAGGACTTGTCCCAGAATATATAAGTATATTATTATTAGGTTATTATTACAATATATAATTTCACTTAAAATTACAATTTAATATAATTAAATAAATATTATACACAAAATATATTTGAAATTTTTAATTTTTTAACAATATTGAAATGAATTCAATAACATCAAGTTTTTGAAATTAGAAAAAAATAAATAAAACACGAGGAATTATAAAAATTATTCAGAATAAAAAATGTTTTTAAGCATTTTATGATACACCATGTTTGAAGGAAAAACATTTATAAAACAATTACGATCAGCAATAAATAATAAATAATTGAAAAAGGGAACCCAAAACGAAACAAATTGTTTAAGTAAATGTATTACAGAAACAGCAAAATTTCCGTAGGTTTTTTTATATGACTCCAAACTATGGATTTTAGAGAAATTATTATTATATACAATGTTGAAGTAGATAAAATTTTCTATATAACTTTTATACTGAATATTTTCTTACTACATTTTCAAAGTCACAAGTAAATTACTGATCAGTATTATTCAATTGATAGGATGAAATAATAAAATTTAAATAATCCACCTCCGTTGAGTTTGAAAAGCAGATGGCCTCGTGATCTACTTATGTAAATATATTATTAGAGTGCTATCAATGGGTAGTTTCTGAACAAACGTTTTCATGTAATTGTATTATTAATGTGTGCACATTTACTAGTTGTATTTTTTTATCATGCAGTTGTAAATATCAATGAATGAAAAAAAAAGAAATAATCCATCATTAGATTACTACAGAATTTTGTAATCAATGTGTACATCTTTATGTTAAAATTGTAAAAATGTATACTGGTGGATCAATAGCACTTTCCATAAATAAATAAGTAGAGAAAAAATAATTTAAAAAATGACTTGTTCCTTTGAATCGATGAAACTGAGCCACAGACCAACATCTCAAAATAATCACAAGTTGCACAGTGTCCTGCTCGCCACACTGCAAATCCCTTGTTCGAACTACGGCACTTCACCAAGACTATCCTAAACAACTAGGGGTTGACTTACCCTCATCGTAGGGTCATCTCAGACTGCAGAGGGGCGCGAAGAACCCCCGCCTTTATAACCGGCGGCCCGCGGGTGGCGGGGGCGGTGGAAGAAAGCTCGGAGGAACACAGTTCCGGCTCCAGCCGTCCCTCCCTTGGGTATGTCACATCCACACTTTTTGTTGCCACGTTTCCTAGTCGATATAGCTTACGTGCTCCATCGGCAACGCTCATATCTCACCAGAGGTTTCTCCCTAGGTCTTCTTGGGATGTAACGAGGGTAGGATCAAGTTAATTACACGCTATGAAAGGGTATCAGTATCTCTGTTGATGGTGATTAAAGGAGACTTCGTAGCAATGTAGGGGAGGTGATTAAATTTGAAAGGACAAAACTCCGAACTTGGTTGGACACAAAAAATTGATTATTTTTTTATCTTATCATCTTAGCAGATTTTTACTTTTTTAATTTTAAATTCTTATATCCACATTTATTACTACACTAAGTAGTGTTCTCCAAATGCAAGACCGAGAA